TAAATGGATTATTTAGAGTTGAGCATGTTGGTTTTCTTGTTTGAAAAAGTATGAAGTGAAACTAAACTGAATGAATTTTTTGATATAGGGAAAACAAAAGTGTGTTGATGCTGACCCGAATTTACTGACCTTTACTTCATTAAAAATTCAACTATGATCTTTTTTCTTTAATAATTAATGACAGACAAAAAATTCTAGGGTGTTTGGTGTGAACACGAAGAAGCAGCATGGCCTAAAGGGCAGTCAGAGGATGAATTGAGGGGCTGCACTATAAGATAAACAGGCATTAATTTTGTCATGCAAAGCAACTCTTACAGAGTCCAAGAATAAAAATGGAGCTGGATATAGACGTAATACATCCACTTTAAAGGTGGCTTTGGTCAAAAATAACAAGCCAATAGTAAACTCTTCAATAAAAAGAAATCCTCAGTGGATTTCAGAAAGGTTGGTGCCATTAAAAGGGAGTGAGTGTGTGTTCAGTGGACCGGACGGCGCTCTGCAGTGGAGGAGTCAGGAGGAGGCTACAGGATGTCTGCAGGTGTCTGCCTGCAACTCCCTGTTGAGACTGAAGAGGCAACCTTCTTTCCCTCCACAACAACAGATTTGATAACCAAATTTGATGTTGGCATACGTGGCAAATGGAGGCTCTGCTTCTGACAAGGCAGCACTGTCAAAAACCAGCTGTTAAAGATCCACATTCTCCTACAACAGGAAACATCCTCTAAGAAATAAATGTAAATCCAGCCTTGTTGTTCTGATATTATCCCAACAGACTGCACCCCATGACCTATTCCAAATTAGACCTATTCTTTACAGAGAAATCACATTCTTAATGTGAACCAGGAAACACTTAACAACAACAATACTTTCAAGGAAACACTTTAAACAACACTAGCATTGCAGCACAACAGGCTGGGAGGAAGCACACAATGAATACCTCTGACTCCGGTCTGTGTTGGGCTCATAGGTCCGTTTGAGTTATTTGTAGGAGACATCTCTATCTTACACTGAACTTTACTAAGCTGCAGCTCTTTCCTCTCCACTCACTTTCCTCCCCCAACCTCTCCTGACCCCACTGTCATTGTCGCCATTGATTTCCATCTACTTTGCTTTTGCTGAATCCCGCTGATGTCGCCAACGTCACTTCCATCTGCCTGTCTGTCCGTCAGGCTGCTGTCCCAGGACACTAAAGCAGCTCGTGAGGCCGAGGAGGAAGAGAAGCAGAAAGACCGGGGGTTGGGGTGAAAAGAGCTAGATTCATTTAGCACGCGCGCACACACACAGGCACTGATGTAATGAGTCTAATGATTTGCATCCAGTTGGAAGATCACAAATTGGAGCCCACACCGCGATTCATCATTCACTGGTTTATCTGTGGTAGTGGTGAGAAAACGCAGCTGAACAGAAAGCTGAAGGGATTGTGCAAAAATCACAGAAGGGAGGTCAAGATGATTATGAAAGTATTCACATATTGCATCACTTGATGTTTCAATTGCCACTGCCGCAGAAAAATTTCTATGAAACAGCACCGCTCATTTCCACACAGAACATGTTAGTTCCCCTTTCTCTCAGTAGTCAACTTGCCAGGAGCTGATGATGACACTGATGATGATGATGATGATGATGATGATTCAGTGAACTGTTAAAGGGCATTTCAGGAAAAGTCCCTGCAGGAAAAGGGTCATGAACCTCAGATGCCAAGTGGAACCATGACAGCCTTTCTTAGCAAAAGCAGCTGACTTAACAGCTGTACTGAAAGATACAAGCACACTGTACCATAGTCTCTGCTTCTACATGTAGTTTCATGCAAAAAATCTGCCGCGTAATCAACATTTCTCAAAAGACACGTCATTTGATTTAGTCAGTTTGGGCTCTAAAACATTTTCTGTTCGCCTTAGGTTGCGCACTTGAAGATTAACTGATTAATCAAGAATAAAGACTTAGCTGTAGCCCTGGCACTTATCACCTTTCTGGGAAATGTTAGATTCATTTAATTTATTTAACTAAATGTGTGAAAAATCCAGATTCTTAACCGCACTGAAGATAAGATTATATCAGATTTATTCACAGTGAAGTAACACATTCACAGATATTAACAGGATAACTACAGCGTCCATTAGAGATCGTGAGAATGTCTGTCTCCTGTAAGAACAATTATGAGGCGGTGTCATGTGCAACACAGAACCGAGTGCAGGCAAATAGCTGCGGGCACACTCAGCACACACACACACATATCCTAACTTATATACGTTTCTTTCCATCAAAATGTCACTAATAATATTTCTCCCTGATGAATCCACTGCACTTTTCTAACTATTTAATGTTGTCTTATGCTGTGTAAGAAGATCTGATATATGTGTAAATTGCAGCACGATGAAAAGTACATGTCAAGACTCAACTATATATTTTAAGAAAAAATTAGCCTGAGCAGTAACAAAATTGAATTTATGTTAGAAAAGGCTTTGTGGGTGAATGCAGACAGCTCGGAGACAAATCAAAATGCTTCCTGAAGCTAACAAAACAAAAGAGCTATAAATCAGATTCACACATTCATGACAACAACCAGAGTGAAACAGAGCAAAGCAGCTGTTACAGAAACCAGAGAGACGGCTATGGGACACTTCAGAGTGTTTTCTGACAGTGGCTGCATGTGTAGCCCTCCTTTATGCAAGCAGAGTACATGTCAAGTGACCTGCTTTCCATTATCAGTACAAAATGCAGATGAGGAAGTGCTTTATCTCCTAGAGAGCAGTGCAGAGCCAACAGCTCCCACCTCCACTGCAGAAAAATATTGAGGTTATCAAGACAATTAACCTCTGATCGAGTCTTTAAATCTCACTTTGCTTATACCCAAGAACTATGTTCAAACTCAACAATGGCTGTACAACCGACACAAACATCCATTGACAGTAAACGGTTTCAGATGGCTCATGAATGTTTAGCTCAAGAATCAACATTATAAAGAATTAATTACCCATGCAGATACCCATCACCATTCATGCTAATTTTACCTTTTTTGCCCTCAGCTGTGCAGGCGAAGCTTGTGGTGATGTCTGACGTCACTGTGCAGGCAGAGGCGGCCCGGTTTTTCACTCTGTACAGACAAGGCACAAACATCTTATTAAAAAATGATACCAACTTCTGTTCGGTGTTACATAATTGTAAAGTTTCTTTTATAATGCCAAACAGGTGAGCCTAACTTGTGGAATAAAATGTGGCACGGTGTTTTCAGCTTTTTGCATGTCATATAATCTGTGTGTGGTACTGATAATGTGTGTATGTGTAGCTGTAATCAGTTCCACGCTCATCAGAGCATTCACACAGACTTCGTCTATTGTTTGTGAGGAGTACGAACAAAGAGGCTCAAGACGGTCTATCTGTATTGTAAACAAGCTGGCAGACTCCACAATCAGTCGTTATGGTACAATAAAAAATTATTACTTAAAGTGAAACCATTGTTTAATGAACCCATGTTTGTAATTGACTTCTTGGATAGAGGAGGGGAAATTATGTTGGATGATTGTTTTGCAGAAAAGCACAGCGCAGTTTGTGATTTTTTTTTCCACACATATAATCAGATTTATACAGCTAAATGGAAAAATGTTCCCAAGTACAGAGCCCTGCATCAGGGATACAACACGGAGGAGTGAGAAAAAAAAGAAGACTAAGACAATATATCAGATATATTTTCATGCTAATGAAATATTTGCTTTTATTGGACATATGCGTCCCATGGAACAGTTTCTTTTTTCTATTTAGTTAAGTTTCAAGCTTGAAGGCACTTACTGCTCGGCTTTGTCAAAAGGAAGAGGGGTCAAGTCTCCACTTATTTTAGTGTTTTAATGATTAATTTTGGCTTAAAGCTGAAAAGTATATAATTCAGATATTTACAGTTATCACTGAACTATAACAGTTTGTGATGTATGTCTTAGTCACACAGGCCTGGAGACTGGTCAGTGACACGCTTGCTGAAGGTTGCTGGCTGGAAATATGGTGCTGTTCCCAAACCCTCCTTGTGTCTGCTTTGGTTGACAGTAGACTGCCTCGGTCACCTGGTGGAAGGCACCAACTTGCCTGCAAACACTCACCACCATCTGCTCCCTCAGCAGTAATGAAACTGAAAGCGTGTAACATAAACCAGAAGCAAAGATTCTGAAGTAAAAGTGGTGCCTCACCAGTGAAACCAACATGGTTCAAAAGGCACACTTTTAATTTGAAGGTGAACTCTTCAAAGTTTTAAAGCTACTTTATCGTTGAGTGTTTGCAGACAGGTCAGTCTCATTCACTACAGCAATCTGCTAAAGACCAAAGCATCACAATGAGGTTTCAGGTGCAGCACCGACCGATTTCACCTAGTGACTGCCAGCAACCATGATGCAGTCTTCAAAGAAGTTTGTATACACACAAGCAAGCAGGTATGCAAATACATTTAAAAACATCATTTAAAGTAGGCTTTGCAAAATTCTTCCTGGAAAAAGTTCTTGATCTGCACAGAGCCGTAAAGAGAAACAAACACACATGCTCCCTGACTTGATTAACTTCACAATCCACCTCCATCCTCAACCTCTGTCTTAAACATAGATGGAAACACAGACGATAAGTTGAGGCAAAGTGAAGGAGCTTAGTGCTCTGTGATTAGAGGCTAAACAATGAGAAGGAGGGCCCTTGAAGTAGGACATAAAGATAGGGGAGAAGGGGGGCCAGAGAAGCAGCAGACATAATGTCCTGAGGGGCAGGCCCATTACTGTCTGGCAAATACAGTTCTGATCAATAATGATCAATCAGAGTACACTTATCCTGCCGCACAAAGCATAATCACACTGTCTTTGGCAGTGGGGGAGAGCAGGGGTGGAGCAGGGTCAGTGATTGCATGAGCATCTATTTTACTACAACAGTGAGGGTCCTTAAAGCTAGCAGCGTCAGCACAGATTTAAGGCTCAGGCTCCACTCCACTGCACTGAAAATGAAATTAAACTCAAAGTGAAAACTTCCCAACCATGGAAGACTTTGCACCGCAGACCCCTGAAAGTAATTACACCTGCCTGTCAGTGTAAGAAACTGTACACACACACACACACACACACACACACACACACACACACACACACACACACACACACACACACACGCGAACCCTACCTCTCTCTGAAGGACACATTATAGCAGTAAAATCAAGAAAACACTCTCCCTAACATCTATTACTTGTCATGTTCTCATGTTATTGCTAAGGATTGTCTATTGCATTGGAGTCACACTGGGTTAAATATGTACACTTGGGTTTTAAGGGGTATTTATTATTTTCTTCTTTTTTTTTTTGGGTTGTATGGAAGCCCCAAACGCAATTTCATTGTTCTTGACAATGACAATAAATAAATACTACTACTACTATGCAGAAGCATAGAATGAAAACTAGCTCTATGTTTACTGAGTACGCCTACATGTACAAAAACTTAAAGACAACAAAAGTCATCATCTTCTTCATCTGACAAAGTTGTACTGTTGTCAGAATGTTTCAGGGAACAGAGTTAACGCTTTATTCGTTTTTCAAAAGTAATCTCACTTTTTACTGCAGTAAATTACATGAAATTTTATGTAAAGTTTGAGGAGAGATGCAAAACATATGAGCTGCACCACGTCGCATCACAGCAGGGAAACAAATATGATGACACTGCTGCATCAAAACCCAACCACTGTGGGGGCTTTTTAAACTTTCTTTGTTAAACCAGACTTTCTGCCTCAGGCTCTGCACATGCTCACATGGAAGGGAGCATTTAATGCTTTCTTGTTACACAGTAAATGGACCTATTGAGAGCGGCATAGTACAGTCAGAGACATTATCAGAGGACAAGTAACAATGACCTACACAAACTCAAACACACATTTCGACTGTCACTTATTTCTAACACACTTTAAAAATAGTACATAAAAAAGGCCATTTATGTCTAAAACTTTTCCACAGCTTAATGAAGCAGTCATGGGAATCGCATACGCCCATTCGTAGTGCAGTCCTCTTATAAACCACCTGCATGCCACAAAACACGTTAGTCAAAGGAGATGGCTCTGCTGCATTGTGTGGTCCAGTGGTCCTGATGAATGGCTGTGTCAGAGCAGAGCACGCTGCTGTAGAAGTTCAGAAAATCCAATGAATACCATGGATGAAGACAAATGACCTCTGTGGCCCCCACAAGCACCACATGTTCACACCACTAACCCTTCACATGCAGCAGAGAGCAGAGCTGAGCTAAGAGCAGGTGTTCACAGGTCCCTGCTGACCGAGGCTTTAGTTTTGTATATCTGCACGAACAGCAGTGGAGTGACTGTCTGCTTCTGTGATTGCTGCCAGAACAGGCCTGATCCCCCTGTGTGTACGTCTGTGTACATATGTTATGTTTTCAGGACAGTGGGATACAGACTTCAGTGTGAAGCTATAAATAAATAAATTCTGCTACAGACATTTCAGAGAAGAACAAGAAATTTTACCTGCAGAAGATGTGCAGCAACCACTGATGGCATTAAAAGAGAG